ATTACAGATACTCCTTAAGAAGCAGAGTTGAGCCTTCATTATAAATAACTGTTAAAGTAAGGATCAGAATTAGCATGTGTACCTTGACATCACCATGCCAGGGTGCTACTCAGTGTTGCCGTGGTTGTGTTGACTAACATAACCTGTCTTTCTCTGACGTTTCTGTAGAGACTTAAGAAACAATGAAATTTCATGGGCCATAGAAGATGCTAGTGAAGCTTTTGCTGGACTCACAAGTCTCACTAAATTGTATGTATTTATAATATTTGTATGTGTCTACAAAGGTATATTTTCAAGAACCAGCTGTAAACATGATTGAATTATGTTTATTTGATATGGCTAGAAAGTTTGAGCTTTCTGATACTCTGGGAGCTTTGTGGGTTTTTTTTTTGTTTGTTTTTTTTGAGACAGAGTCTCACTCTGCATCCCATGCTGGAGTGCAGCGGCAAGATCTCAGCTCACTGCAACCTCCACCTCCCAGGTCTCGGTTCAAGCAATTCTCCAGCCTCCGTCTCCCGAGTAGCTGGGATTACAGGCATGTGCCACTATGCCCAGCTAATTTTTCTATTTTTAGTAGAGACCGGATTTCACCATGTTGTACAGGCTGGTCTTGAACTCCTGACCTCGTGATCTGCCTGCCTTGGCCTTGCAAAGTGCTGGAATTACAAGAGTGAGCCACCGCACTCAGCTGGGTTTTTTTTTTTTTTTTTGAGACAGTGTCTTGCTCTGTCACCTAGGCTGGAGTGCTGTGATCACAGCTCACAACAGCCTCACTTCCTGGGCTCAAGTAATCTCCTGCCTTGGCCTCCTAAGGAGCTAGGACTAAAAGTGTATATCACCATGCCCAGCTAATTAAAAAAAATTTTTTTTGGTAGAGAAGGAGTCTCACTATATTGCCCAGGCTGGTGTTGCCTGGGCTCAAGTGATCTTCCCACTTTGGCCTCCCAAAGTGCTGGGATTATAGGCATGAGCAACCATGCCCATCTAGTTTTTTTGTTTTTGTGTTTTTTGTTGTCGTTGGGGAACTTTTTGTTGAAAAAGCATTCCTATGGACACTTAAAGAGAAATTATTTATGGAAGTAGAATTACTATTCAAGTAATAGGAATGCATTGAGAAAGTAGAGTAACCTCTTGGTAGTATATGTTTTTGTTTTGTTTTGTTTTGTTTTTGAGATGGGGTCTTGCTCTGTTGCCCAAGCTGGTGTGCAGTGGAGTACTCTCGGCGGTACTCCAACCTCTGTCTCCTGGGTTCAAGAGATTCTCCTGCCTCAGCCTCCCAAGTAGCTGGGATTACAGGCATGTGCCACTATGCCCAGCTAATTTTTGTATTTTTAGTAGAGTCGGGGTTTCACCATGTTGGTCAGGCTGGTCTCAAACTCCTGAACTTCTGATCTGCCTGCCTTGGCCTCCCAAAGTGCTGGGATTACAGGCGTGAGTCACCGCACCTGGCCAGTAATCTGTTTAATTTGTAATTTGTTTAATTGTATTAGATTTATGAGTAATTTATCTAGCAGAGGTAGAGAATTCTCTTACATAAGATTTTAGATCTTCTCCCATGAGAAGAATTTATCCAAAGGTTCACACTTATCTTAATTTCTTTGTTCTGACAATCTTTTGCTAAGAAGGAAGACATGAGGGATATAATCAAATTTAGCATCTGAAAATTATCAGTTTATCAGTGGTCAGGATGGTTGTTCATAGGTACCTCCTTGAGCTCTAACATCTTGATAGACGACTTTATGCTATGTTTTGCATTGATTAATAATTAAATTTTATAACTTTCTAAAAAATGCATGTTCTCATCAAATTGTACATATTAAATATATGTAATTTTTTGTGTATCACTTGTATTCCAGTAAAGCTGTTAAATATACAAAAAAGCACATTAAGCTTATTTTCACTTTTTATAACTAAATGTTTAATGAATTTAATTTTATTTAGTGGAGAGTTTTCTTAGAAAGATCTGTTTATATTTCAGAATCTTACAAGGAAACCAGATTAAGTCGATTACAAAGAAAGCATTCATTGGTCTTGAATCCCTGGAGCATCTGTAAGTATTTTGCATACATTTTTCTTACTCTATAAAAATCTTTGCTGTTAGCAGAGGTTTTCATGATCATGTAAAGTGTTTATGTAACTTGACTATAGAATTGGCGACTAATAATGTTTAATTTCTCTTTATTTCAGAGATTTGAACAATAATGCTATAATGTCTATCCAAGAAAATGCTTTTTCTCAGACTCATTTGAAAGAACTGTAAGTAACTTGTCTTTTTAAAATCACCAATTGGATTACTGTTCCTGCTTGTTGTGTTTAAGGTGTGATGGGAGTGACCCAAGTTATTTCCAAAAGCACCACAGTTCAGGCAGGAAAAAAGAAAGTATTAATACTCAGTTGTTTTAGTGGCTGGAGGTAATTTTAAAATACCCAACATTGAAAAGCTCAGAATGTGTGGCACCAAGACATTCTGTTTTGCCTGTTCTACCAATGCTTATAATTAGGAGACCTTATCACTGCTCCTTGTGCTTTATGTATACCCTACTGTTCCTTTTTGGATTATCAGAAACGTGTTACCAGTTCTTAACACCTTGTGTGGGTTACAATAAAGGTATTAGGTGATTTTGTTTTATAGTTTCTGTGGTGATTTAACAGTATAATTGTCAGAGAAGATGTCTTTAACCTATTCAAAGTACTAAAATGTCAAAATAGACAAGTATGTGTATGTATCATTTTTTTTTTTTTTTTTTTTTGAGACGGAGTCTCGCTCTTGTTACCCAGGCTGGAGTGCAATGGCACGATCTCGGCTCACCGCAACCTCCGCCTCCTGGGTTCAGGCAATTCTCCTGCCTCAGCCTCCTGAGTAGCTGGGATTACAGGCACGCACCACCATGCCCAGCTAATTTTTTGTATTTTTAGTAGAGACGGGGTTTCACCGTGTTGACCAGGATGGTCTCGATCTCTTGACCTCGTGATCCACCCGCCTCGGCCTCCCAAAGTGCTGGGATTACAGGCTTGAGCCACCGCGCCCGGCCAGTGTATGTATCATTTTATACCCTTTTTCATTCGTGAGTTTTAAAAATTGCTGTTACTGCTGGGCACGGTGGCTCACGCTTGTAATCCCAGCACTTTGGGAGGCTGAGGTCAGGGGTTTCAGACCAGCCTGACCAACATGGTGAAACCCCATCTCTACTTAAAAATACAAAAATAAGCTGGGCATGGTGGTGCGTACCTGTAATCCTAGCTACTTGGGAAGCTGAGGCAGGAGAATTGCTTGAACCCGGGAGGTGGAGGTTGTGGTGAGCTGAAAGTGCACCATAGTACTCCAACGTGGGCAACAGAGCGAGACCCTGTCTCAAAAAAAAAATTGCTGTTACTGGTTTAGCAATTGGGGTTAGCTGGCCATTGGTATGTATTATTTTTTTGGAGACAGAGTCTTGCTCTATCTCCCAGGCTGGAGTGCAGTAGCGTGATCTTGGCTTACTGCAACCTCTGCCTCCTAGGTTCAAGCGATTCTCCTGCCTCAGCCTCCCCAATAGCTGGGATTACAGGCGACTGCCACCATGGCCGGTTAATTTTTGTGTTTTTTAGTAGAGACGGGGTTTCGCCTTGTTGGCCAGGCTGGTCTTGAATGCCTGACCTCAGGCGATCTGCCTGCCTCAGCCTCCCAAAGTGCTGGGATTATAGGCATGAGCCACCGCGCCCGCCCTGGTATTATTTTTAAACTCTATTGATTCAGATATGCAGTTAGGGTTAAGAACCACTAGAATATAGAAATTATTTTGCTTTGCCTGGGAAGCTACTGAAAGGATACTCTGTAGAACAGAATTGGTTGATGACAAGATAAGGACAGAAATGCAGAATAAGCATTGAGAAACTTTTAGAGCAATTTGACATTACTGTGACACTTTGTTGTAGTTTATAAAAGTATTGGACTGTAGTGGGTTGGAAATTTAAAAGACTGGTCCTTACCATGGATAATTTGAGATGCACCGGAAATGTGTGAGTTTTCAAACTGCCTAGGGTTCAAATCCTTACTCCATTCCTTGCAACTGTGTGATAGTGGCAAATTGTTTAGCCTATGACTCAGTTTCTGTTCCCAAAATGGGAATAGCACCTCCCTCAGGGTTATTGAAGATAAAATGAGATAACTTGTTTACTCAAATATTTATTCATCATCTGCTATGTCGGGTACTCTTTTGGATGCTGAAAACGGTAGTGAACAAGAGTCTCTGTACTCATAGCATATCACAATACTGGTGAGAAAGATAAATAATAAACCAGTAGATAACATAATATCAGGCAACACGTTCTAAGGAAAAATAAAACTAGGTCAAAGGTATGGAGAGTGTTGGGGATTGCTGTTTTAGATAAAGTAGTGAGGGGAAAGTCTTCTGAAGATACAGCATTTGAACCAGGACCTTAATGAAATGGCACACTATGTGAACACTGAGCGAATGGCTTCCCAGGAGCAAGGAATAGCAAGTAAATTGAGATGAGAGAGTTAAGCAGAGTAGAGTAATTAAATAGCCACAACTTTTTTGATATTAATCATATTATTTCTCATTAGTTGTTCTCTTTATTTGTTCCAGGGAAATCAATTTATTATCAAGAGATTTTTTTTTTTAATCCCAAACTGCTTTGTTCTAACTTACCTTTTTTTATTTTTGAGACTGAGTCTCTCTCTGTCACCCGGGCTGTAGCGCAGTGGTGCCATCTTGGCTCACTGCAACCACTGCCTCCCAGGTTCAAGCGATTCTCTTGTCTCAGCCTCCCCAGTAGCTGGGATTATGGGCGCCCACCACCACGCACAGCTGATTTTTGTATTTTTAGTAGAGACGGGGTTTCACCATGTTGGCCAGGCTGGTCTCGAACGCCTGACCTTAGGTGATCCACCCCCGCTTAGCCTCCCAAAGTGCTGGGATTACAGATGTGAGCCACTGCACTGGGCACCTTTTTTGTTGTTATTGTAAAGCATATGGAATTTACAGTTCTAATAGGTCCAACAATAAAATTATACTCTTTTTTTTTTTTAAAGAGAGAGTTAGGAGGCAGATTGTAATAAACCATTAGGAATTAGGATTTTTGCTTTCTTAAATGCACTTGGAAACTGGAAGGTTTTGAGAAAATGCTCAGCACAGATCTTGGCACAGAGTAGAAGTTGAATAATATTAACAATAAAAATTCAAATGTTATGAAAATCATCATTAGTTATTTTCTGCCAGATTTTTAAAGTGGATTTTTTGATCTGTTGAGATATTTTGAGTTATTTCTCCTAGGCTTAGTTTAATTATAAGTTGTAACTTACTATAAATCAGTATATCCCTTCCCCTTCCCCCTCCTTTTTTTTTGCCAGTGGTAACCTGAAGGCCAGCAACTGTTGTTATGAGAACTCAGCTTAACATAAAATTTAAACAGTAGGTAAAAGCAAATATTGTAGTTTCAATCTTCAGAGAGTCATTTTGTAATTTGGGAGTTGTGACAAAGATTCTGTGTGTAACCAAACTTTAGGCAAGCCCTTAAACCTCCTAGGCCTAACTGTGTAAAATCCAATTTTAGCACAAACCCTGTAAAACCACTTTAGCAAGAACCCTTCCTCATTGTAGGTCATCCCCGGCAAAGGTCTGATCACCCTGGCCTGTCTTCATCAAGAATCCTGCTAGGGTTTAGCCAGAGCACCACTACTGTGGATGTTATTTCTTCGTAATTTCACATCCACTGAACAGGATGAAAGCAAACCCACCTTGCTTCTTGACTATACCTGCCCATGCTGTTTCCCTACTGTCTCTCCCTCACTGAGTTGAGCCTGGTCTCTCTTCCCAGCTGCAATATCACATTGCCATGGTCCCTGTATCTACTGAGATGATCCTGAATGAAGTCTACCTTACCATGCTTTAACAAGAATCACTGAGTAATTTTTTATTTAACAGCTGTGGTGCTGTGACTCCGATAGGATCAGATTCATCATTGGACCCCCAGACCTCTCACCCAGGACTCCAGGTGTGCACCTTTGAAGCCTTTGTCTTCACTCCTGACTGATAGATCGGGGATCCAATGGTGAGTCAGACTAATGAACCATTGCTCCGGACAAACATCCGTTGAAGCTGGTAAGGAAAGATGTCGATTCTCAAGATTGTGAATATATTCTCTGAAGTTGGGGTAGAGGCCAGACTTCTTTTGAAAGACCTCCTGGGCTTGAAGGCTTCTTCCTGGCTCTCTTTCCGGAGTGGGGTTTATTTCCTGATTCCCAGGACTGAAAGTCCTTGGAACTCTGTGAGGCTACTCTGTTCTCTGATGGATCCTTCTTCTCCCATAGCAACTTCTCTGGCATCTGAATCCCCTCTTTTTGAACCCCTGCTGACTATATTGCTCCACCACTTGTTCTGTCTATCTCCTCCTCATTGGACCTTTATTGGACTCTTTGGGATACTTAACATCTCCCCAGACTGGATCCTGTAAGCTCTCTTTCTTCCCATTGCTACTGCTCCTTTTTCCTCCTCTTACCACCTTTAATGTTCCCTCTGGTTCCCCTGAGCCCTTTGATACGACTCCCTTCAAATCCTTGCATCCTCCATCCATCTGTCCACCCACTGCTAGACTTTTTCCTTCCCACTCTGGACTCTTAGTCACTTGGACTTTAGGCCCCCTACCCTCCCTTGGGATCTCTCAGGGGGACTCAGGGACTCCCAAAAGTAATGACTTGAGGTTGAAAAGGAAAAAGAATAATTCGAAATAGACTAAGCATTTTATCTACACTCAGATGGGCTTTGGAGATATCCAGACAGCTGAAGACAGCTGTGTCTTCAGCCTCCATAAATTACACATCAGGGCAAAAGAAAAGTCTTTTTTTTTTTTTTTTTTTTTTTTGAGATAGAGTCTCCCTCTGTCACCCAGCTGAAGTGCAGTGGCACGATCTTGGCTCACTGCATCCTCAGCCTCCCGAGTTTAAGCAGTTCTTCTGCCTCAGCCTCCTAGAGTAGCTGGGATTACTGGCGCCCAGCACCATGCCCAGTTAATTTTTGTATCTTTTGAAAAGAAAAGTGACCTCATCCAATTTATGTTTTCTTAGGTGTAATATAAGCTGGACTCATAAGACTTGGGCTCATATCCTAACTCTACTATTTATTTTAGACACGATACTGAATGTATCTAAAATCTCAGTTTCTTCTTTGGAAAGACCAAAAAAAAAATCTCAGTTTCCATTTCTAGAAAATGGAATTGAAAATGAATGCCTACCTCATTGGCCGGGCATGGTGGCTCACACCTGTAATCCCAGCACTTTGGGAGGCCGAGGTGGGCGGATCACAAGGTCAGGGGTTCGAGATCAGTCTGGCCAACATGGTGAAACCCCATCTCTATTTAAAGTACAAAAATTAGCTGGATGTAGTGGCAGGCGCCTGTAGTCCCAGCTACTTGGGAGGCTGAGTCAGAAGAATTACTTGAACCCAGGAGGTGGAGGTTGCAGTGAGCCAAGATTGCGTCACTGCACTCCAGCCTGGGTGAAAGTGTGAGACTGTCTCAAAAAAGAAAATACCTAGCTCAACTGGGCGTGGTGGCTCACACCTGTAATCCCAGCACTTTGGGAGGCTGGGGCAGGTGGATCACAAAGTCAGGAGTTTGAGACTAGCCTGGCCAATATGGAGAAACCCCATCTCTACTAAAAATACAAAAATTAGCTGGGCATGATGGTGTGTGCCTGTAGTCCCAGCTACTCAGGAGGCTGAGGTAGGAGAATCGCTTGAACCTGGGAGGTTGTGGTGAGCCAAGATCGTGCCACTGCATTCCAGCCTGTGTGACAGAGTGAGACTCGGTCTCAAAAAAAAGGAAAATGCCTACCTTAAAAAATTTTTTTAAATAAAGTATTTAGGCCAGGCGCAGTGGCTTATGCCTGTAACCCTAGCACTTTGGGAGGCCAAGGCAGGTGGATTACTTGAGGTCAAGAGTTTGAGACCAGCCTGGCCAACATGGGGGAACCCGTCTCTGTTAAAAATGCAAAAATTAGCTGGGCTTGGTGGTACATGCCTGTAATCCCAGCTACTTGGGAGACTGAGGCATGAGAATTGCTTGAACCTGGGGGGCTGAGGGTGCAGCGAGCCGAGATTGTGCTGCCAGTGTACTCTGGCCTGGGTGATAGAGTGAGACTCCATCTCAAAAAAAAAAGTGTTTAACACAATGTCTGGCCACAGACAACACTTAATTCACAGTAGCTATCATCACTTCTGTTTCTTTTACTTCTTTCCATTCTTCACATACTAACCAACCCTGACCATAAGTAATTAACACAGTATACAGTATTCTCTCAAGAAGTGTGTGGATAGATTATACTAAAATATTACTAGTGGTTGTCTTTGAGTAGTGAGGATTTGGAGGGCTTTCTCTCCCTCTTGGTTTAATGGTACTTTCTAATTTTCTACTGTAATTATATAATTTTAATGGAAAATATTTTAAAATTTATATGCAGCTTTTTTATACAGTTCCTATTATTGATGCAAAGCCCTATCGGGAATATCAACAAGTGCAAAGGAGATTTTAATAAATGTTGACCCAAAAAATATTACAAATAGGACTTTTAAAGTAACCAAAAGCAGCCGGGTATGTTGGCTCACACCTGTAATCCCAGCACTTTGGGAGGCTGAGGTGGGTGGATCATGAGGTCAGGAGGAGGAGACGACCCTGGCTAACACGGTGAAACCCCATCTCTTCTGAAAATACGAAAAATTACCCAGATGTGGTGGCATGCACCTTTAGTCCCAGCTACTTGGGAGGCCGAGGCAGGAGAATCACTTGAACCCAGGAGGTGGAGTTGCCATGAGCAGAGATCAAGCCACTGTACCACAGCCTGGGAGACAGAGCAAGACTCCGTCTCAAAAAAAAAAAAAGTAATCAGAAGCAACCAACAATTCTCAGTGAAAAAGTTGCATTAGAGCCAGGCATGGTAGCTCATACTTGTGATCCCAGATACTCAGGAGGCTCAGGTGAGAGGATCCTCTGAGTCCAGGGAGATCAGCCTGGGCAACACAGCGAATTCGTGTCTCAAAACACAGTTGCATTAAAGTTCCTGCAATAGCAGTTTGTTCAAACCAACTGTTAGGAAAAAATTACTCAATGAAACTTGTTAAAGCATTATAAAAGCATGATAATCTTTGCCAGTGCCTCCTCTTGTTCAGTAACAATATAAGTCAACTTTGAACAATCGAACAATTTAAGTCAATTTTCTCATTTTTAGAAATTGAAACTTCTGTGGAATCAGATCTTAGATACTTTATGCCAAACATTAAAACTTGATGAGGATTTAATCGTGCACATAAAGCAAGTTCTCAAAATCATTTACTTTCCCTCCTAAGTGGATGGGACATTTAAAGGGTCACTGAAAGAAAATACCAATTTTTCAGATATGTTCTATAGGCTTATAAACCACAAGTACTTTTTCAGTGTTCTTAAGTTTAGATTGCATTGCACATTGTCATAGTGCTGAAGTTTTGTTTTGTTTTTTTTAGACAGAGTCTAACTCTGTTTCCCAGGCTGGAGTGCAGTGGTATGATCTTGGTTCACTGCAGCCTCTGCCTCCTGGGTTCAAGCGATTCTCCCACCTCAGCCTCCCGAGTATCTGGGATTACAGGGACCTGCCACCATGCCCAGCTAACTTTTCTATTTTTAGTAAAGACAGGTTTTTACCATGTTGGCCAGGCTGGTCTTGAACTCCTGACCTCAGGTAATCCGCCCACCTCAGCCTCCTAAAGTGCAGGGATTATAGGTATGAGCTCCCATGCCCAGCCTAGTGCTGAAGTGTTTTTAGTCTCGATGCAATTATTTGAAAATAATTATATGCTGTCTACAACAAAGATCTCTCAATGCTCCAATATATGTAGTAAGTGTTTCTCCATACTTTTGTGGGAAAACATTTAAACCCAAAAAATTTAAAGGAGGGTACAGTTAATACCATATACCCTTTATCTAGATTCACCAATTGTTAACTTGCTAAATTTGTTATCTATTTCCCTTCCTCTTCCTCTCTCATTTTAGCTTTTGCTCTCTCTCTACGTGTACACACACACACACACACACACACACACACACACACATGCATATATATATATATATATACACATACACAGTTTTTTTTGCTGACCATTTAAAAGTTGCAGCCATGATGACACTTCATGCCTAAATATCCCAGCATGCATTTTTTTGTTATTTTTTTCCAGCATGCATTTTTTAAGAACAAATACATTTTCTTTTTTTTTTTGAGACGGAGTTTCGCTCCTGTTACCCAGACTGGAGTGCAATGGCG